GCCCCAGGGCGGATCCAAGAGGACCGCCCAGGAGTCAACCAGTTTCCTTGCGTCGTTCGATGGATTTGGCGTTCTCGCCTGGCTGAGCTTCCCAAAGCCCAAGATGGCCCCAAGACGTCCCCAAGACGGTCCAAGAGGGCCTCAAGACCACCCAAGGGAGTGACCGAGCAGGCCCTCAAGACAGTCCAGATAGGCCTCCAAGACGGTAACCGAAGATGGCCAACGACCAGAGACCACCCGAAGACGGCCCAAGAGAGAACCAATGTGGCCCACGAGAACCCGAGCTCGCTCCAGACAAGAGCTCCAACACAGCCCCAGGATGACCCCAGAGGGCCCATCCCCAATGTTCTCCCCAGTGGTTTCCCCAACCGCTGCGGGAACACGCACTCCACTCGCACGGCCGCACCGCCGCTCGACGTTCCAGCATACTTCGTACATCGCGGCGCGGCAGAGGCAGTCCGCTCGCGCGAACAACAGCACCGGGCTGCGGAGCCGCGAGGGATTCCGCTCCGTCACGCGAGCGGCTCCAGAGGGAGGGGGGCGGCGCCGCCTCGCCGCAGGCGTCCCCGAGCCGCCGCCCCCCGTGATGTGTGCCAAGGGGCGCGCGGCGTGAGAGCTTTGAAGAACACCGCCTGGTCCCTCCCAGAGGTGTCCACGCGCTCGTCGGCCCATCGCGCCGCTCGCGGTGGCACCGCGTCAAGCACGCCGCGAGTACAGTGCACGGCCATGCTCGGAAGAGGCAGGGTCATGATTCCCCAAGCAGTGCGCGCCCTCGGGCGTTCTTTGCTGGAAGGGGATCTTATCTGGTTTTCCAGAACAGTCTTTTGACGTGCCTCGCGTGTTCCCTGGCCCGTGTTTGGCGTGCCAGCTCTCCCGAACTCTTGCGCGCATTTGGCGCGCCTGCCCACGGGACCAGACGGACGCAAGGCTCAGTGGTGGTGGCGCAGCACACTCTGACGGATCTCCCGGGCGTTCGCCAGGTTCCCGCTGGTGGGCGCCTCGTGCCAGCGGTGGACAAACCTCCCTTTAGTAAACCACCCTTCAGCGAAAACGGCCTAGGGCCGAAACCGACGGACCTGGACCCGCCAAAATGACGGCCGCGACGTCCCCCCGCGAACCCGTCACGGCCAACTCGCGAATCGACGCGCCAGGGCAGGAGGTCACCCAGCCCCCGATCGTGGGCGCCCCGGGCGCTGCCTGCGTCCCGAGGCTTCGCCGCGCTCCCGCCCGTGGGCGCCTTCCTGGGCGCCCTGCGCGCTGGGTGGCTCCCCCGAGGTCGCACCGCGCCCCCGCTCGGAGGGGCCGCCTCGGCACCTCGTGGCCGGCGGGTGGACCTCCCCGGGTGGCACCACGCTCCGGCCCCGTGGGCGCTCGTCATGGGCGCCCTGCGATTTCCCGCTCGCGGACGCCTCGGGGGGCGCCCATGTGCGCCGGGCGGGGCCCGCGAGGTGTCGCGCCACGTTCCCGCTCGTGGGCGCCTCGTGGACGCCCTGTGCGGCCGGGGCGGTGCCCCGAGGCTGCGCAGCGCTGCCGCCTCGCGGGCGCCGGATGGTTTTACCGAGGCCTCGCCACGTCCTGCCTGTGGGCGCCATCATGTAGGCCATCGCTTACGTCGCACAAAGCACACCATATAGCCCACAGCACAAAAGACACTATAGCTTACACCACACAGCTCACACAACACAGCTTACACCGCATACTTGGGCACCACGTACCTCACACCGCATTGCTTGCACAACGTAGCGCACACCACATACATTCGCACCACGTAGGACAACCTACACCACATGGCACACACCGCAGGATCCTACACCACGCAGCTCACACCGCAAAGCTTTCATCTCCACACTGCAATATGGCACTGGTTGGGATCCATGCTGGCTAACACGTGTTCAACTCTGTTTGAAGGACCTCTGCGTACTAACCTTCAAGATCGCCCCAAGATGGCCCCAAGGCCACCATCTGGGTCCCCACGACAGCTGCGAGCGGGACAGAAGACGGCCAACAACAGCCCCGAGACGGCCCTCTGAAGACATCACAAAGGCCCCCAAAGAAGCCCAAGACAGAGAAGCCCAAGACAGACCAGAGAGGCCACCTTTTCGAAAACAAGCGGTTTCAAAAGGCGCCAGACGGCCCGAGAGCGCCCCACAAAAGGCCCAAGAGAGCACCCCGAAAAGAGCCCAAGGACAGCCCCAAGGCGGCCTGAAGGGCCCCTCCCAAACAACTGGGAAGCCACGCGGTCCACTGCCGCGGCTGAAGCTCCGCTGGGCACGCACTTGCGACCCAGGCGCTTCGAAGAGGCAGCGGGCGGCACGCGCCGGTGACTCGCCGTGGGCCTCTTCGATATATCCCGTGCGAAGCTCGGAGCCAATCGAGAGAGTGGGCGGGCGGTAAACGAGCAGACGGTTGGACCAGACCAGGCATCTCTGGATCACGCGGGGCTATTCGGGGCCGCTGGCGGCCGAGACCTCACGCGACACCGCCGCCTCGCGAGGCAAAAGGCGCCCGAGCGCCGCCGGGCTCGGCCTCTTCGCTGCTCGCCGATGCACTGATTCCACGTCCTGCTCTTGTGTTGCGGTTCGGCCGCTGGGAGCCCAGCCAAGTTGGCCACAAGCACTTGCTTCCCGACCCTCCTGCATGGGGTTACCGAACCGAGCACGGCGGTCGCGTCTCGTCTCCCGCTCCCCCATCTTCCTCTCTCTCTTCTGCCTCCCATCCCATCTCTCCTGCTATGTGTGTGTGTGTGTTCCCCGACCTTTCTGTGCTGGGTTCTCGCTTCGAAAATAAAAGCACTGTGGTCTCCTCCCCCCCCTCCTCCTCCTCCTCCTCCTCCTCCTCCTCCTCTTCCTCCTCCTCCTCCTCCTCCCCCTCCTCCTCCTCCTCCCCCTCCTCCTCCTCCTCCTCCTCCTCCTCTCTCCTCCTCCTCCTCCTCCTCCTCCTCCTCCTCCTCCTCCTCCTCTCTCCTGCCTCCTCTCGCCCGCTCTCGGGCTCCCTCGCGGGCTCCTGGGAGGGGGCGGGGGCCTCGCGGCGTCCTCCTCTCTCCTCATCCTTCATTTCCTCCTCCCTCCTCCTCCTCCTCCTCCTCCTCCTCCTCCTCCTCCTCCTCCTCCTCCTCCTCCTCCCTCCTCCTCCTCCTCCTCCTCCTCCTCCTCCTCCTCCTCCTCTCCTCCTCCTCCTCCCTCCTCCTCCTCCTCCTCCTCCTCCTCCTCCTCCTCCTCCTCCTCCTCCTCCTCCTCCTCCTCCTCCTCCTCCTCCTCCTCCTCCTCCTCCTCCCCTCTCTCTCCTGTGCCCTGCTTCCGCCGCAGCCCCGTCGAGACCTCGCGGCTCCCTGTGGGGCTGCGAGGCGCGGAACTGCCGCCACTGTCGTGGGCTCCTGGGAGGGTGCGAGGAGCGGGGCCACACGGGGATCCAGTTGAGACCTCGCGGCTCCCTGCGCGGCTGCGAAGCGTGGAACTGTCGCCACTTCCGGGGGCTCCTGGGAGGTCACGCGGAGTATAATTATATGGGGATGCCGTCGAGACCTCGCGTTTTCCTGATGGGATGCGAAGCGTGAAGCTGTCGCCAATTTCGTGGGCTCCTGGGAGGTCGCGCGGAGTGGAGATAGACGGGGATCCAGTTGAGACCTCGCGGCTCTCCATGGGGGCTGCGAAATGTGAAACAGTCGCCACTTTCGTGGGCTCCTGGAAAGTCCAGCGGAGTGGAGTTGCACGGGGATCCCGCCGAGACCTCGCAGCTCTCACTCTGGGGGTCTGCGAAGCGTGAACTGGTCCCTACTTTCGTGGGATCTCTGGAGGTCGCGCGGAGTATAGGTGTACGGGCATCCCGTCAAGACCTCGCGGCTCCCAAGGGGGCTGCGAAGTGTGAAACTCTCGCCACCTTCGTGGGCTCCTGGGAGGTTGCACGGAGTGGAGTTAAACGGGGGCCCAGTTGAGACCTCTCGATTCCCTGTGAGGCTGCGAAGCGTGGCGACAGTTTCGTGGGCGCCTGGGAGGTCGCACGGAGTGGAGTTACACAGGGATCCAGATGAGACTTCGCGGCTCTCTGGGGGGCTGCGAAGAGTGAAACTGTCGCCGATTTCGTGGGCTCCTGGGCGGTCGCGCGGAGTGGGATCACATGGGGATTCATTTGAGACCTCGCGGCTCCCTGATGGGGCTGCGAAACAAGAAACTGTCGCCACTTCCGTTGGCTCCTGGAAGATCCAGCGGAGTGGAGTGGTATGGGGATTCCGTTGAGACCTCGTGGCTCCCTGGAGGCTGCTAGCTCTAAAGCAAACCAGCGCGTCGCGCTTGCCTCGCTCAACGAGACGCGCTGTTTTGCTTTAGGACGCATGCCGCTGTTGTCCCGCGGATGTAGAGCTCGGCGCTGTTACTGTCACTGAACATGTATGTCCCCCCATTGACCCTCCTCCGCATGCCTCTGTCCCCGTCACTATCGTGCCATTCCTGCGTGTTGATTGTGTGTAGTTCTGGGACCTCATGCGCACAGCGAGTCCTTCGACGTATAGGTTTGTAGTGAGCGGTCCTAGATGTGTTAGCTATATATTTAGAAAAGGGTCGGGTACGTCACTGGGACATCGTTTTGTTGCAGCGGCGAGAATTAGAAGAATAACAAAAACCACACAAAAATAAGCTTTGGGCGCTCCGCGCAGATTTCTTGGATTCGCGCTGGACTTCCGCTCCCTGGCGTGCGGTGCGCGCCAGGGGCGGCGTCGGAGGCGCCGCTGGGGGGGCCCAGACGCGGATCAAGGGAATGCGAGCGAAGCGCCAAAAGTTTTTCTTCTTCGAAGAATGCTAGCCGCGTTCAAGGGCAGACGCGGGATGCACGGGGCCGAAAATTGGGCACGGAGGGCGGCGGGAGGAGAAGGGGCGTGCTGGAAAGGGAGGAGCACGCTCAGAGCGTGAAATCCTTGGGAGGATACTCCTCCTCCTCCTCCTCCTCCTCCTCCTCCTCCTCCTCCTCCTCCTCTTTCACCTCCTCCTCCTCCTTCTCATCTTGCACAGGGCGGAAGTGGGAGTCGCTGAAGGAATGGCGCTCACTGTTTGGCGCTTGGCCAAAGAGACATGCTCACTCGGAGATTTTCTGACCGGGGTCACTCCAGATCCGGGTCAGTCAGGCCTCACTGACTCCTGCAAGGTCCTGCACCCAAGCCCGGGCCGATGCGAAAGATCCTGCAACATCCTGCGGGATCCTGTGCCCAAGCCTGGGCCTGTGCGACCCTGGCCCTGCAGGCTCCTGCAAGATCCGGCGCTCTGGCTGACCCCCGTCTGCATGGACCCCCGCCTCTTCAGCCCCGACTCCCGGTGAAACGACGGGCTCCCGGGAGCTGCTTTTGGTTCTCGCAGTTCGTCCGCCTCTGCTCGCGCCCCCTCTGGCCTCCCGCGCTCGCTCTGCTCGCTCTCCGTGGCCCCGGCTCCCACTGGAGGACGTCCGCGTCGGGGCATGCGACTCGCTTGCCACGCCCCCGCGCTCAAGAAGGGAACCCCATCCAGGGGGACAGACAATGACACAGCAATAACAATTCGGAGGTCCGCGCGCATGCATCGGATCGGCGCTGGGCCCTCTCCCCGGCGGCCTGCACCTATGTGATAGGCAGGTGGTCGATGCAGCGCATCGCATCGTAGATGTCGTTGGTCCAATCGCTCCAAGGAAAGTGCTTCTTGAGCAGCGCATGGAACCACTCCGTCACTTTGAAGACGTGCTTCTCAATCTTATCCTCGGTACCTGGCGTGGTGGTTGGGTAGAAGTTCTGCAGAATCACAGCTTTGATGATGCCTTTGGCGTCCTCGTCCGACCTCGCCTGCCAGATTTGTCTGACAATGTCGCCGACGAAACTAACCCCGCGTCCCTTGCCCAAGATCAGCTGCTGCACTACTACGGGGAGGACCGTGTGCAAGTCAACGTCAAGAGCAGGCTGTGCAAGTGGACGATCTGGCTTACCTGCTGCACCCCCCCAAGGTACTTGTATCGAGCCCTTGGAATTTCCGTCAATATCTATGAGCCGGACCATTCTGTAGTCACGAGAAATCAGGACATTGTTCAAATGATTGAAATCGAAAGCCTGCACTCCCATGAGTGTTAAGTCACGGAATGCACTCAACAAGCTCACAAGCAACTCTTTCACCTTCATCAGTGAAAAGTCAGCGTGCATCTTTTGAGCTGCGCCTTGTACTTCCACTGGGACACAATGCGGCGGTGTAGTGTAGTCAGCCATGAACTTTTTCATAGTGTAGGAGGAGAACTCCTCCTGATGGCGCGACAGCAAGACTGCCTCAAACTTGTATTCCTCGTGATTTCTGCTATTGGACGACAGAGCCACGCCGAGCCCGTAGAAATAAAGGACTCGACCGTGCTTATTCAGCGAGTTTGCCAGTCGCAGTCGCTTAGCCATCCCTGCTTCCGATTTGCTCTCTAGCGATGCCACCATTTTACTCAAAGTGAACGACCGCTTCACAGCTGCATCCAAGTGTTGCATTTTGGAGCCTTCCATCGGATCATAAGCTCCATCCTTGGATGACGTAGGCCTCAGCTCGACCCTGTGCACGATTGCATTGGAGCCCATCCCCAAGATCCCTCCCTCGCCAGGTGCATCGAACTGCTGTGGGGCTTGGTTCGATCTGGAGATGTTCATGAAAGCCCTTTTGTCATTGAGGCCCTCTCCGAAACTGAAGACGATCGGCTCCGTCGAATCGAACGCCTGACCTGACTCCTACCAAACCACCCCAACCCAACCCGAAGACCCAAATTTCGCCCGAATTTCCGGTTGGGCGGGGTGCCGGCTTCATGCTTGTTTTTGTCGATGTTCCCCGACCCTCCCCCCACTGGAAGTGGAGGGCAAATCGGGGCCTTCGGGTTGGGTTGGGGTGGCTTGGTGGGCGGTGATGACCCGTCTCGAAGTCCCAAGCGCGCAGGTGCGTACTGCGCAGTGTATTCTCGAGCAGGGTGGCTGGCGCGCCGGGCCTCTCGGTGTGCTTGAAGGACCAGGGCAGCGGAACCGAGTGCTTCTCCTGGCTGGGCCTAAACGTCGTTTTTCGTTTTGTTTTCGTATTGTGTTTCGTTTTGCTCTACCCGTTTTTCCTGTACCTCCCCCCCGAAACGAAAAACAAAACACAGCCGAAGTCCAGCAACACAGCGTTTAGGTCCAGCCCTGGCTTCTCCTCCCCGACCACCGAGAAGATCACCAGCGCAAAGCGGCACTTGGCGTCCCAGTGCACGACCGAGTTCGCCCCCTCTTCGACAACGGTCAACCCGAACATGCTCCGCATCCTTGCGACCTGGACGCTGGATGTGATGGCTTCCTCCTCCAGAGGGAGATCAAACTTGTCGTCGTATCCAAACATGGCCAGCACCACCCACGACTTGGCAACGTGCGCTGGCGTGTCTGAGTATGCCAAGAGGTGGCGGTTGACATGATTGATGAGAATCTGCCGCCGCGCTGCGCAATGCCGCGGCTGATGCGCGTTTCGACCGCGTCGCATGGCCTGTTCCGGAAACCCTGATCCAAAACACCTCGCCATCTCCTGGGAGGCCGATCTTTACTTCCGCCAGCTTCCGCCGGCGGAGGCGGCCTCGTTTTACTTCCTCGGCCTTCCGCCGGCCTTCCGCCGCGGAAGGGTTGCCAACTCCTTCGATCCTCTAAGGCAAGGCCGTTCCTGAAACGCCTCGTGTGCTTTCGGCTACCCCCTGGTGCGTTGCCCTTGGGCCCTTGCCGTCTCGTTTTGGGGGGCTGGTCCCCCAGCGCATCGGGGCCCGCCTGGGTCGATGTTTCGATCCGAGCCCAGGGATCGCTGAGAACTGGTTCCGCCCCAGGCGACAACCTTCCCAAAACCCTACGAGAAGCCTCCTGGAACCCTTCAGGGAGTCCTGGAGGGCTTTCGGAAGGCTTGGGTACAGTCGGCCTGGGACATGATAGCATCCTTCAAACACCTGAGACCTGCCGCCGGCCAGAGCGCACAGAACAGCCCACGGGTACCCTCCCCAGGATGCACAAGAACATCTAGCAGCACGAAAAACATTAGAGCACCCTCCCCGAACCTACCTCGATCTTATACCTGTCTACCTACCAGAGCCCCCCCCCAACCTAACCCGAAGAGGCCCAGATTTCGGGTTGGGGTGGTACGGGTTCCACATGTTTTTTATGCTCCCCGACCTCTTCCCACTGGAAATCTAGGGTAAATTTGGGTCTTCGGGTTGGGCGAAGGAGGAGGAGGAGGAGGAGGAGGAGGAGGAGGGAGGAGGAGGAGGAGGAGGAGGAGGAGGAGGAGGAGGCCGAGGAGGAGGCGGATAAGGAGGAGGAGGAGGAGGAGGAGGCAGGCGGAGGAGGAGGAGGCGGAGGAGGAGGAGGCGGAGGAGGAGGTGGTTTGGTGGGTGGTGAATACCTCGGTCCGATCGGAAGGTCTCGGTCGTTCTATGGGGGGGGCGGGGAGGCCAGCTCCCAGCGGACCCTGCCGCCGCGCGTACTTGGAGGAGCGGCCGGCCCGTCCTCGCCTGCCGAGGTCTCCCACTGGGAGGGGGGCAGGGCGGGGGGGAGGAGGGAGGAGGGGGGGAGGGGGGAGGGAGGGAGGGAGGGCGGGAGGGAGGGAGGGAGGGAGGGAGGAGGGAGGGGGGGGGAGGGAGGGAGGGAGGGGGGAGGGAGGAGGAGGAGGAGGAGGAGGGAGGAGGAGGAGGAGAGGAGGGGAGGAGGAGGAGGAGGGAGGAGGAGGGAGGAAGAAGAGGAGGGAGGGGACTCTCCACCAGTAGACCTCGGTGAACACGAGGCCGCTCGCGAAGTCCCAAAAGTGGGGGCCGTTCGCCGATCCCCACCTCGGGTCCCCCCCCCCCGAGGCTCACCAGACCCACAGCGCGGCGGGTGATGTGCGCGTCGGCGCGGCCGGATCTTCTTGACCGACGCAACCGTGGACTTGATGGTCGGCGGCGAGCCCAGGGAGTGAGGGGGGGGCAGGCCTCCACAGGCGGCGGCGGGGCTCCTCAGGACCCCTGGCGCCTTCCGAGGAGCGTGCGGGAAGCCTGCCCCGCAGGCAGGGGCGGCTGCTCAGGAGGCCAGAAGGCTTCTGAGCAGCCCCGCCGCCGTCTGAGAGGGCCTGCCCCCCCTCGCTCCCCCCTGGGCTCGCCGCCGAGATTGGTATCTTGACGTCCATCGTGCACAAGCCTGGGACCAGGAGTTCCACCTCCACGTTGCAGGAGTCCACCAGCGCCTGCACGAGATGCCGCCTCGATTCGTCGACCTTGGGCTTCTTGACCGCAGGGCAGTGGACGCGGTCAAGCTCCTCTTTCAACAAAGCTTCCATCTCCACCAACTGTCGCTGAAAGCCAACGTTCTCCAAAATGAACGGCCGGCATTTTGAGCAATTTTTCAGAACATATTCCAGTGGCTGCCCATGCAGCATGAGACACGCAATGGCGAGCGCAGCAGAGCGATTCTGGCCAGCGACACAGAAGAACAACACTTTCCCCCCCGCTTCCTTTACGTCGTTGTAGAGGTCATTGGCAACTTCCAAGTGTTTTGAGCGAGCACCATCTTTACCGTGAAGGATTGGATATTGGTGATGGTCTTGGACGTTGGTCCACCGATCTCCGCTTGACGGGGGTGGCAAAATATGTGGAACAGTTGGCCGTCTCCCTCCTTCTGTTCGCCCTACCTTTGGATCCCGGTAGCAGTCGTGACGGCGGCCCCAGCGACACGCTATGCCTTGCAAGCGGATCGCGCATCCCTCCGAGACTCCTTAGAGGCTCCCAGAGGCCCAATAGACCGCCAAAAGGCCACCAAGACGCCTCAAGTGGACTCCAAGAAGCTCTTAATAATCATCCGAAGAGACTCTGAAAGGCATCCAAGAGGCCTCTGGCCTTTCTGCTGGCCCTCTGCCTCCACCTACTCTTCCTCATGGGCATATTCCTGATTATCCCTCCTCCTTCCTCCCCCCCTCGTCCCCCTTCTTCTTCTTCTTCTCCTCCTCCTCCTCCTCCTCCGATTCATCCACTATCCTCCTCCTCTTGGAGCATGACGGCTTCCCGAAACCCGTATTCCACTCCATGCTACTCCGCATCCCTGATCCAGGCAACCCGCCTGGACATCGTTTCTGGATGGGCTGGTGGGGTTACTTTTTTTTTGGGTCGGCGGCTCCGAGGCAACGGACAGGGAGCGGAAGCGGCGTCCGGGTCACGGTACGGGGCTAATTTGCAAAGAATGCGTGGTGTGCACATGCACTGAGCAAAATGCTCCGCATTAAGGCGATCTGGGCTGGTGGGGTTACGGGAGGCGTCTAGAATTTTGCCGTTTTCCTCCTTCTGCTCGCCCTACTGTGAATCCCAGAAATAGTCGCGGCGGCGGTCCCGGCAGCACGCTATGCCTTGCAAGCGGATAGCGTGTCGCTCCGCTCCGCGGGACTCCTTCTCCTCCTTGGGAAGGGGGATGAGGGGGAGGAGGGGAAGGCGGAGGAGGAGGAGGAGGAGGAGGAGGAGGAGGAGGAGGAGAAGGCGGAGGCGGAGGAGGAGGAGGAGGTGGAGGAGGAGGAGGTGGAGGTGGAGGAGGAGAGGAGGAGGAGGGGGAGGAGGAGGAGGAGGAGGAGGAGGAGGAGGAGGAGGAGGAGGGGAGGAGGGAGGAGAGGAGGAGGAGGAGGAGGAGGAGGAGGAAGGAGGAGGAGGAAGGAGATGAGGAGGAGGAGGAGGAGGAGGAGGAGGAGGGGGAGGAGGACAGCGTACAGGGGGGGTCAGCTCCACCCTAAGAGGAAGGCGCAGCGGCGCCAGAGGCCGATGCCGCACTCGTCGCGGTGGCAGAATACCAAAGCTGATGGTGCCGCGAGAGGGGAGAAGCAGGGGAGGTGCACGCAGGAGCAAGAGCAGAGCTCAAAGGAGCGACGGAAGAGGTGGGGGACGGGGGAAACGCCAGCGGCATAGCGAACTCCAAGGGAGGGGAGCGAGAGGGGACGGCAGAGGGCAGCAGCAGGGAGGGCTCAAGGAACGAGGGAGACGGAACGGGCGGATGGGCATGCGTGGAGCCGAGCGTGGGAGGACAGAGCGGGGCGTGCTGGGCGAAAGAAGACAAAGGGGCAGTCGAAAAGAGGCAGCGACGGGAAGGCTCAGGGCGAGGCGGGGTCCATGGCGCGGACCACGGGGGGGGAGGAGATAGCCTCTGAGTCGACGGGCTGGCCGTCAGGGTACACGGGGACCGCGAGGGAGTCCCTGACAAAGTCATCGGAGAACATGAAGCCATAGAGGCACAGGGCGCCCAGGGAGCAGCAGCACGTCCAGGAGTGGCTGCCAGAACGCATCCCTGCCGAGAGCGACGCGCGATCAGGGACGGCACAGAGCCAGTGACCTTCCCCTCGCAATTTGCGCTAGCCTGCATCATAGGGTACGAGGAGCACCCCAGCGCAGGGCTGTGCGTTCTGATCGCCGCCGACCAATGAGACCACTCCTCGCAATTCACTCTAGACGCCTGATACGACGGGCTCGAGGAGCACCCGACGCCAGGGCTTTGCGTTCTGACCTTCCCAGTCGCAACTCCAGGGGACGGCAGCAGCCACTCCTCGCAATTTACTCTAGATGCCTGGACACCTGGGCTCGAGGAGCACCCAGTGCCAGGACTTTGCGTTCTAACAGTGTCAGCACCCCACCTGCTCGGTACTAAGGGTTCGAGGCAGTCGAGGTCGTCGCTGTGACCCGCTCTGGAAGGCGTCGCAATCAGGGTAGCAGGTGTACCAGGAGCGGAAGGAGTAGAGACTCTGTCGTCATCGGTGTGGACCGTGGGAACCAGCCGCGGGGTGAGGCACGGTGATCGGCAATCATTCTTGCTCACGCCAGGTCCAGAGCACCGTATTCCATCAGTGTCGTCGCAGGGTGTGCAATCCGAGGTCTGGCCCACCGAGGTATGTCCGTGACTGCCAGCGGCCACTCCATCACCGTCGTGGGGATCTCCAGGTTGATCGGGAAGCAGCCCTTCATCCTCGCCGTCGCTAGATGAGGTCGACGAGGTCGACGTGGGTTGAGGAAGGCGGCGAAGGATCAGTGCCTCTGGGGGCTGCCATTTCTTTTGCCATTGAGCATCAGGCTTGGCCAATCTTAGGTTTCTGACAGCTGCTCTCGCACTTGATCGAAGGTCATTGGCGGTGACGTACAAGCGAAAGCGCATGTTGTGGTAGATGTTGAAGGCGACTGTCAAGGTTTCGACATGCTTGATGTCAGGGAGCCGGAGCCCCAGTCGGTCAGGGAGGAGCGGATGCATCTCATATCCTAGTGCTTGGTACACCGCTGTCCAGAGCGGGCGGCATCGCATGTAATGATACTGTCGATCCTCGTGAGCTCGGCATCCAAAGATACATGAGCGGGAGCCTCCAGCATACTTTATGCGCGATGAAGTAAGCCATCCAGAGCAATAAGTTTTTATGACAGGCATGGCCCAGCTCATGGGAACCAGCGAAAGAAGTCCACCAATCTCTGTCCAGGCCACACGATCAAGGAACGGCTCCCATTCTTGTACATATTTCAAAAGACGTCGCTGCACCAGCGAGGCGAGTGGGAAGGGTGTCACCAGCAATTCCCGAAGAGCACGTGTGGCAGCGCGTTGAGGCTTGGGCTTCCTGTCGGTGACCTGGAGCTCCTGGGCGATGGCCTGCACGCACGTGTCATTGATCTCGGAAGGGTAAGCCGCCTCTCTGCCTGACCGAAGAACCGATGCGTATCCCAGCAGGAAAGATGGGGATTGCCAGTGCGTGCCAGTATGGTCGAGTGCATCTCCGCGTGTACGGATCGCCGCCAGAGGCGCATCATCATACCGGCCCTCCATGAGTGAATATCTCCATTCAGACTCCAGTTGTCGGAAGCGATCAATAATGGTAGTGTGATCAGAGAACGTGACTAATGCAGCTCGAGCATAGGCAGCGGCGCACGAGTGAAGCAGCAGAGGGATATGAGGGCCTCCCCATTCACCAATTTGGGCCCAGCCAGCTGAGGTGAGCATGCCGAGAGGGGCTCTGAAGACCTGCGCAAGAATCCCCAGTTCCAGAGCGGCGTGACGTTGAGGGAGCGGAACAAATTGGGCCACATATGAGACCACTGAGAACACCCTGGACGAGTACAACACACCGTTAATACTAGCAGGGGCGGCCCCAGACCCAAGCAGACGTGCCCGTAATTTGAGCTTCTGCAGCGGTGCGGGCCACTGCATGTCAACTGTGACGGCGGGGCCCATCAGGAGGCCCAGGTAGAGGACGTGGGAGGCCACTTCGAAGGCGCGCCAGGCAGGGACGAGGCGCTCAACCAGAGACAAAGTGTGGAGCTGGAGGGACTCGGTGAACTCCCCCTTGAGCGGGACAATTTTGCACTTCTTGGGCTTCAGCTTCAGCCCCGTGAGACACTCCGTGACCACCATCGCATCATACAGCACCTGGAGGTGCCTAGCTTCATATACCACTGCCCCTATATCATCAGCACACGCACGAGCAATACCATATCCAGGAGCCTCCAGGGTATCCTCCAACGCATGGAGGAAGGGGGCCGTGCCGAGGGCGTAGAGGCTCCCAGAGAGCCCACATCCTTGGATAATCCCAGACCGCAGCCAGTATATAGGGATAAGTTGGCCAGCATGGGCCACCACTCCTTGAATAGCGAGGTACAGCCACGAGAGGAACCACATGAGGGGCCCAGGGACCCCGAGCTTCTTCATCAGAATCAGCAGATACTCTTGGGAAAGACTGGGGAACGCCTGGCCATAATCAAACGAGATCAGGAGGGGGTCGCACAGGTCGGAGCGAGGGTGGGCTGCGGCGAGTCTTCCTATGCCATCGAGTTCGATCACATTGTATCCAAAGTTACGGCCGACCACGAACCCCCTTTGCGAGCAGGGAACCACCTCCTCAACCACTTTACGGAGCGAGCGATTGACAACAGAGGTCATGATTTTCAGGTCGGTGTTTCGAAGCCCGAGCACTCGAATTTTGTCAGCTGTCCGCGTACAGCCTCCAGAGGCCTCGTCCTCGTCCTCAGAACCTTTGGGCAAGAAGGCCTGCAACGTGACACTCGCGGCATCGAAGAGGGTCCCCCCGCTGAGCACCCAGTCGAGGGTGTTGCACAAGACGTCGACACAGCAATCAGAGGCATTCCATGCGGCATAGGGGATGCCGTCGACTCCTGGGGCAGAGTGCCGTGCACCTCGCACAGCTCGACTGATAGCAGCTTTGGTGGGAGGCGGGACTTCGCATTGGATAGTAGCTTTCAGGTGATCCTGGAGGTAGGCCTCTATGCAATGGGCTGGAACAGAGCCTCGAGAGAATGCAGGGCGCCAATAGGTACTCAAAGCTTGAAACCGATCTTCAGGCGAGTGAGATAGAATAGGGCCGGACCGAACCTTCTGCAAGATGAGTCGGCGAGAGAAAGGGGCCCAGATGGCCGCTTTCCTTTCCAATAGCTGCTGTCGACGGCGGGTGGAGATGGGACGGCGAGAAGCAGAGAGACCAGTGGCATGATCGGCGTTGGCTTGCAATTCTTTTTCCAGAAGCCGCATGTGGACTCCGTCTGACCACGAGTGAAATGATTCAGCATGCCGAAGGCGAACTTGTGAGCCTTCAATTTGCAGTGCGTCTGATGCCCACTGCGAAGTTGAAATAAGCCGCCGAGCCAGCGGGACGTCCTGTCGCCAGACAGCTCGAGCGCAGCTGCGGGCCACAATGATCGCCGTCTCATCACTCTCCGCCTTCAGCGTGAAGAGCATGTCGCGCACCTCCCGCGCAGCTTCTTTGAGCATCTCTTTGAAATGCTCCTGATAAATCGAGCCAGCATGTGCGTCAATGGCGTTCTGGCCATCAGCCACCATTCCCTCAATACGTTTCTTGAAGAGCGGGTCATGGAAGAGGTGACGCGGTATAGCTTGTTCTCCCCGAGGTCTGTGGTGGCGCTGGCGCAACGTAGTCACCAGCGCAGCATGATCAGAGATTTGAGCACGGGACAACGCCTCTGGCTCGCCGACCGTGGTGGATTCAGCATGAACTTGGCATAGCATCCATCCAGGTAGAGAACAAAAGAACCGGTCTATGCAGCTGACAGAGTTGGTGTGCTTCGTATAGTGAGTAGCCGCTGACGATGATACTTCAAGGAGCGCACCCAGAGAGCGTAGCCAACGGGCAGCTTGGGCACGATGATTCCGAGGATCAGAAGCACGCGAGGGAAGTGGGCGATGGAGCACCAGAGCTTCGTCGGGGCCAAAGTTCAGGTCACCTTGCACGATGACCAGGTGGTGGGTTGGGTCAGACGCCGCGGCGACCCGATACCTGTCGATCTGCTCACAGACCATGTCCACCTGGGCGCTTGTGAGGCCGTGGTTGTGTATATTAAAATGTGTCAACTGATAGCCACGTCTATGCACATCAACTTGCAGGACCCTTCCTGGGATGAGCGGCGTGGCACAGCTAGACGATGCTCCGTCAAGAGCGAGTCGAGGAAGAATGGTAGCAACACCTCCAGCACCCGATCCCCCTTGATCGACTGCACAAAATGAGGCGTGGACTACAGCATGGGCATGAGCCTGGAGCACGAACTGTTCCAGTTGGACTCGATCAGCATGAACTTCCTGCATCGCCAGCAACGTGGATTGCAGGTGAATCTGCTGCAGATATCGTAACTTGGTGATAGCCTTCGCCCCTTGGTACTGCAGGAGCGCCCTCGCATTCCATGTAGCACATCTCAAAGCGGTGCTTCCATCTTTGGCTTGAGGAAGGTTGAACATCTGCATCATCTCGTTAAAGGCACCACTGAGGCGGCGGTGGCGGTGCAATGGTGGATTGAACAAGCTCGCGGACCTCGTGCTTGGCGATGCCGACTTCATTGAGGCCCTCGTCGTTGTAGAGGATGTCGAAGGGCTGGTCGTCAGGCTGGGCGGAGAGCTTGAGGATGTGCGTCCACCCACAGCGTAGGACACCGCGCTCCCTGTCCACGGCCCATCGCCCTTCATATTTGCCAGCCAGGGCCGTTCGTAGCTTCCTGAGCGCCATTTCCGTTTTAATTTGTTTTGGATTTTTGTCTGGTCCGAGATGGAGGCGAGCGGGAGTTGAGCCTGACACATCAGCCTGGAAGATACGCCATTCATCGTTCTGCCTGAGATTGGATAGGACTTTGTTGACATACTTGGACGCAAGCCCCACACTGCCATTGAATGAGACGAAGTACCTTCTGCTTGGCATCGGACCGGCGGACTTGATAGTGTATGATGATGCGTCCATGCCCAGCTCCCCCAAGAAGGGAGAGAGTGCAGCACGCACAGAATCGATCCCAACCATCTTCGTTGCCATGGCGACGACGACCGAGGGGTCCTCCACGCGATCGAAGGAGGGCGGTGCCGAGGGAGCCTTCTCGGTGCGCTTGGCGACCATGAGCTCGCTGCGGAGCTCCTCCATCTGCTTACGCAGGTTGGCGATGTCTGCGGTGTGCTTCTCAACATCCATCGAGAGCGTGTTGACATGAGAGCCGAGGGAGTCAATCTTGGACTGTAGGCCACGGTGAATGGCATCGATGTGTGGGCGAACAGTGGCCATGATCTGCTGGTCGATTTCTTTCGGCTGGGCCGAGATCTGTACACGCAGAGACTCCAGTGTGTCGAGAATAGATTTGTTTGACGATTGCACAGTTGCGCCGACGGTAGATCCAACCAGAGATTCCAGTTCCGATCGTAGTTCTCCGAACTGTTCAGCAACTGCATTTGCTGCGACGTGCCTGATATAGTCATCATCATATTGAGGCTGCTGCACTGGAGGTTGGGCAGGGTCACGATGGGCGCCAGCAGGGGACGAGCCAGGAGTACACTGAGAATCGCAACGACCGCCAAAAAGAGCAGAGCCGACAGCGCCCGCCGCGCGGGCAGCCATGCCAGCGACTCCCTTGCCACCGTTGTTGCCGCCTTTGCCGTCCTCCGTGCGCGGGTACTTGTGCTCGGGTGAGCCCCGATCATGGTGGTCATCGTCATTGTCATCCACAGGAAAGGTGGGCATGTCATCGAGCTCCTGGGCAACCTTGGCGAGCGATGCAGCGTCGGGAAGCCCCATGGCGACAGCGGCGCTCGACAGCACAAGAACGGGAAACACCTCCGTTTACCCGTGGAGGCGAGCGACAGGGTGAGAGAGAAACACTGCCAGACCACAAAGGGTCTTGCCAGCCGCGGACTAGCGGTATCCACTTGTTCCCCTGTGGAACCTGGCATCTTGAGCCAAAATGGCTACGGAGGAGGAGGGGGAGGAGGAGGAGAAGGAGGAGGAGGAGGAGGAAGAGGAGGAGGAGGAAGAGGAGGAGGAGGGAGGGGGGAGGAGGAGGGAGGAGGAGGGGAAGGCGAAGGAGGAGGGGGTAAAGGAGGGATGGTGCCCCAGGAGGCATCGGGTCGTCGACCCTCGGGGGCCCGGGCGGTCGGCGTGTCGCGCCGCAGCGCGGTGGCCAGAGCCGGCGGCGCGACAGGCCGAGAACAGCTTCCTGGCCGCAGGCTGCGCCACGCAGGCTGCACAGCACTGCTGGAGGGGGCCCCGGGACACACAGACAAGAATACACAACTCCCAGGATTCCCGATGTTTCCTCATATCTTCTGGATGTTCGTATTCCCCCCACCTCCCGTAGTTTCCCATGTGTTCCGGGGGATCGACGATGAATTGTGTCTGTGTGTGTGTGTGTTTTTTCTCCCTCCTGAAATTCAAAGTTTGGGGTCCACGCTGGAATTGGATCACGATGCTCGCCGGCTGCTTACATCGACTCTGGCTGACTTCCTGTACAGGGGGCAATCCACAATTGACGGTCTCTCCACCCAAGCCACCTCCCTGTTTCCGAGGTCGGCAGATTGGCGCAAGCTTGTAGGATAAACGCATAGCGGATCCCTCGTGTTTCAAACTCGCCAAGCGGTAACTTGCTGATGCCAGCTGAAGCACAATTCAACACAGCAGTCACTCCTAACCGTACGAGCTGCTGCACATTGGCTGCATGGTACTTGTTTCCGACAAACACACAGCCACCAATTAGGGCTGGCTCAGGGTCCGAAATAGGGAGCGTCGGTATGGGCTGCGCCACCAATGATCTCATCAAATCCAAGCGGCACTGAATAGCATCTTCGCCTATCTTCAGCTTGGGCATGGATGGAGCTCCAGCAGTGCAGAACATGTCGCAACATCACAGCAAAGGACGGTACCTTGAAGGCCCATGTTGAACTCTAGCATGCCACAATGCCATGCTGAACAGTGCAGCTTGATCCAACTAAACTGCAACCTTTTGTGAGGACGGGGGGAAGGTCGTGCGCAACTTAACTGCTGCTACGCTGCTACGCTTCCCGCTTGCTGCATCTCTGGCTCAGAACATCAGATCCTCCGCTTGTCTGAGCTTGGAGATGCGAATCTGTCAGCTTGAATCCCTTCGACTTGGTCCGTTGGACCTCTGGATGAGTGGAACGAGTGAGACGAGAGAGAAGTGCAAAGTTGCGTGCAGCTTTTACATAAGGGATGTCTGCCAGAGCGCTCTTTGGCCTAGAACCACATTGATCGTGCGATGTCAAACTGCAGCCGAGAGCGGAACTTGGATCTATTATTCGACGGCGAGCCCAGGTGGGAAGTCAGAGGGGGCAGGCCTTCTCAAAGGCGTCGTGGCTTCTCAGAAGCCCTCCAGAGACATCCTAAGCCTTTTCCAAAGGCACACACGGCTAATTACTGAGATTAGGTCGGGCATGCTCCCCTACTAAGATTAGGTCGGGTAGGTCCAGAAATAATATAAAAGTCGTCCCGATACGTGTTTGGCAAGTTTCGAATATTCCTCCTGTAGGGGGACAGGCCTGACTTAATACTAAGAAGGCTGGATGGCTTCTGAGAAACCCCGCCGCCTTCTGAGAGGGCTCGTCCCCTGGCCCCCCCCCCCTCCCTCGGCTCGCCACCGAATCATGCAATACGGAGTGGGAGCTCCATGAGGCTGGTCGCACGTTTCGAGAGCAGTCCCTATGAATCGAGGCTGGCGCGGGCGTATGTGCTGGACGTGTGTCGCCTTCGGAGGGGCGAGGGCGGGGAACGCAAGGGTGTTGGGGCCCATCTGGGGCCCCCCGATCTCTGGCCGAAGACGACGCTTTCTCCGAGCACGTCGGAAGAGGCCTCCCGGATGGGGTCAGAGGATCGCGCCGCATCGCCGATGCCTCGACGATGCATTGGCGATGCATCGGCGACGCCGGCGGTGCATCGGCGACGCCAGCGCGGAGAAAATTGTACTCTACATCGAGCCGCATCGTCGGCGATGCGGCGCGATCCTCCGACTCCATCTACCCGGACCCCATGTAGGAGGCCTCGAATCGACAACAATATCCAGAAGGGAATCGAAGCCAGCCAGAATTTCCGCCAGGCCCATGTGGAAGCACGTGGAAACGCATTGGAATGTCAAAGGGATGCAGGCATTGCGCAGGGTCAAAACCCATGCCGAGAGAGAAGCTGATGGGCCCACTCTGTTGTACGGGCTGGGGACACCTCTACGCTGGTCGCAATGTTCCAGTAGGTATTCCTCTGGATGCCTATAGGGTTCAGTTGGGGGTCCCATTGACGCACCAACATCGTGCAAGGGGCCAGGGGCGCGACTTTGAACCCACTTCCCGATCGCAGAGCCGCTCGCCTCAGGTCTCAAACCTGTTCCAATCACGACGGGAATCGCTGTTGCTGGAACTGTCTGATGCCGTTGATGCTGCTGGCTGTCGCTTGCGGCGGATTGCTGCCGTTTGGTGATGCTTTCCGCCGCGTGCTGCTGATTTCTCCTGCTTTTCTCACCGCGTCTCTGGGCCTCTCTTGGGCCCCCTCGCGTGCTTTCTCCGAGCTCTTGGCGTGTTGGGCAATCCTGGGGCATCCTGCACCCCTTGAAACCATCTTAAGCTGGCAAGGGGCTCCCTTGGCGTTCTGGGGCCGTCTTGGGGGCCTCTTGGAGCTCTGTTCGTGTCTTGTGGGGGATCTGGTGGGCCGTCATCCTGTGAGCATCGTTGCAACTTAGAACTTTCCTGGGGCACTCCTAGAGCGCCGTGGGGGTCCCCGAGAAGGCTCCAAGAAGCCGGAAACAGAAAACCGTGTAGCCAACGGCAACAACCGCGCAGCGTCGTGGCCCACCGCCTCGTGGCGCTGGCTTCCAGGCAGCATCGAATCTGCTCTAACCTGCTGCCTAGCCCCTGGGGGAGAGCTCGACACACAGTGGAGGCCAGTCCACAAGAAACCTCCCACAAGAAGCCGAACCCTGAGACCCCAGGACGTTCACTGATTTTTGGTGAGGGCGTCACGCTTCCCGCGGCAAAACCATCGAAATCCAGGAAACCCAGGGCACCGTGGAGGCAGGCAGGGTGTCTCTTGGCATGGGCCTCCACTGTAAACCGCTCCGCACGCCAGAGCTGGTCAGCTTGCGCACCGCATCCGCTGCACGAGGGGCGCCCGAGCAAGTGTGGGAAATCCAGAAGGGGCGCCGCCGACGTCTTGCGTAGCTATCCGAAAATCGTGCGGCGGCGAACCGCGTGGTGACCTCGGAGGCTCAAGAGACCTTACCGTGCGGTCCGTCACCGCACGGTCTTGGGACCCTGGAGGCCCCAATGGCCGCCCCAAGCGTCCTCGGAGAACGACCCGAGGGCCAAAACCGTGCGGTGACCCGGAATCTCGCGCTGTGGTCACCACACCGTCTGGGGGCCCCCGAAAGTCGGGAGGAGTCTGGGGAAGTCCCAGGAATCGAATTCCGAATAGGGGATGAACTACATCATTTATGCACTCCAGAACTTATTTTCCCGCCGAACATACAAGAATCACGTTGAATGCTCGTAGACCTACGGGGCAATATGTGTTGGGGTAAATCAACTCTGTAGTCGATCCCCTCAGTACTCGAGGGAAAGTCCAAGGAAGGCCTGGACAAAAGCCGGGGGAAGACGCCTGGCGGGGAAGCCCGCGGCGGGACGCTGAGGCCCCGTCTTTGTAGCCGCGCGCCGACACACCGGCCAGGGCGTTGCTGGGCTCCGCCAGTCTCCAGGAAGCCGACCCCGAGACCCGACGACGCGAAGGGATGGCAACATCGCGAAGAATCGCGACCAGAGCCCCGGACCCCGCCTTCCTGCGGCGCTTCTCGAGCCGACCCCTCCTCCTCCTCCGCCTCCTTCTCCGCCTCCTCCTCCTCCCTCCACCGCCCGCTTTCCGTCCCGAGCGTGCGTCAGCGTCATCAGCTCGTCGGTGTCGCTGCCGTCGTGGTCTTCGTCGTCGTCCTTCTGGGTCGGCGGCACCAGCCGCAAGGCCTTCACTTTCACGACCAAGACTTGAGCAGGGACCGACCGTCCCGGCATTCCTGTGGGCCTACCACGAAACTTTCTTAGAACCCCAAAATGTGTTAAGGCAAACAATCATACCGGAGAAAAGCCCCAATCAGATTCTGTTTGGGGCTATGGGGCTATAGGGCTATTGGGCGATTGGGCTCTAGGGCCATAAGGCTATATGGCTACAGGGCTGTGGGGCTATGGGGCAATAGGGCTGTAGGGCTATAGGGCTATAGAGCTATAGGGCTATAAAACTATAGGGCTATAGGGCTATAAGGCACCCGGGCACTCGGGCACCCGGGCACCCCCCGGCACCTCCGGGAACCCCCGGTCACCCGGGCACCCCGGGCACCTGAGCACCCAAGCCCGGCCACCGAAATCGGCGGCGACGGGCACCCGGGCACCTGGCCCGGTCACCGAAATCGGCCACCACACCAACCTAACCATATGAATCCGCTAGGACCCCTACAGAGGCAAACTCTGATTGGGGAACAATGTTCTTAGAACATAAACGCGATGTGTTAAAATTATCCTGGCGAAAGACCCAGTCATATGCAGCTGTGGGTACCGCAATTGTGAACATCTTCTTCGTGAAGCTCCCTATGGGGCCACGAAGCGTTGCACTGGGTGGGGGGGAA